ATCCTGGCCTCACTGCCCTGTCGCCCCACATCAACGCCCGGCCTTGACGAGAGCTTGAAGGGCAAGAGGAGGCCCAGATGAACACGAGGCATGTGGAAAGGGCTCCCACGGGCTCCGCAACCTTCCCTGGCCCAGAGCGGGTCAAGCTCTCCGCCGTCCTGAAGGCAGAAGTGTCTCCGTGCAGACGGACGGACAGAGGCACGGCCAAGCCTCGAGCCCCGACTGCGTTTCCAGCCACCTGAAGGGAGGCAGGCTTCAAGGCTCTCCCAGAAGGGCACGAGGCCCCTTCATGGAACAGGAGGCTGTGTTCAACCGTCACACACGGCAAAATACTCCTTTGGCCCTCCTGAATTTCCTGCCAGTCGGCTTCATGGAGTCCCTGAGGGGCCCAAGCGAAGGAGAAAGGATCGGACGCCCCTTTTTTACGCACCATGAATAATTTCCTAGGCTACTGCGCATCCAGCCCCTCCGTTTTCCCCCGGCCTTCTCTCCTGCACCCCTACAGCCCTCTGGAGCCCCCTGGAGGGCCCAATTCTGGCCTTGGAGCCGGAAAGCAAGCCAAGCACCGTCTTCTGCCTTCTGGGGATGTGCAGAAGTGGCCTTCCCTGTGCCAATTTGCCCTTTGTCCTTCCTAGCCTCGGCCCTGGGTGCAAAGGGGCATGTTCTGCCCAAAGTGACCCTTCGGGGGCTTGGGTGCCCCTGGCTTGGACCTGCCCAAGAGAACCTGGCCCCCTGCATCAGTGGCCTGCAAGGTATCCAATTGCTGGGGCTGGAGAGGGGGCCCCTTTCTGCCTGGCAGCCCCCCGTCAGCTGCCTTCTGCCTGAGCCGAATGCGGGGTGGCAGGGTGGCAGCCAGCAGACGCTCCCTGACATTGGCGCCCTGGCTGACGTGGCTCAGGCTGGGCTGGCGACTTGAGAGACAGAGGGCCAGATCCTCCTTGGCAGGGGCTGATGGGAGCAGAGCGGGGTTGCCTGCCGGGGCCTCTGGCTCAGCTGCTGGGGAGACCCCTTCAGCCAGCCGGCCGGCTCCTTCCCTCCAGCCGGTCCTGAAAGCCAGAAGCCTGTCACTTCCATCAGTGTTAAGGGTGGCCAAGGACTTGCCAGTCCCCCTGCAGCCTCGGCCTGGACGGAAGGACAGGAGAGGGGGGAGGGGACACACACACACACACACACGGACACACACACACACACACACCCCACTACAGTCGTGCCCTTTCCTTCCTAGAGCACCAGCATCCTTTGGAGGGAATGGGGGGGTGCTGTGTGCTACAACAACAAAGAGGTGGGGAGTCCCCTGGCAAGAGGCCCGGACGCCTCTCTGGTGGGCACCAGGTTGGCAGAGTCCACCTGGAGACCCTCCTGGAAAGGCACAGAAAGGGGGGAGGAAAGGGGGGAGGCTGGCGCTGGTGCCAAGGCCGCCCCCTTGAGTAGAGGGAGGACCTGGCTTGGGCCCCTCCTCCACCCCCCAGCAGAACCAACAGGGGCGGGGGCAGCTGCACCCATCCCCCCCCCTCGGTTGTTCCTGGCAGACAGCAGCCCCGCTGTGGGATGCAGCAATAAAGGGCAGCGAAGCTTAGGATTTTATGCAGCCATAAAAGATAATGCCAGCCATAAAGAGGGGGGCATTGCCCAGCCCTGGGGGAGCAGGAGCGTGGGAGGGGGCTTCTTCCTCCCCGCCCCCCCGCAGGCAGAGAGGCCAGGAGCAGCTGGGGGGGGGGCAAAGGGGGGCCGGGAAAAACCCAAAAGGCCGGGGAGGGCGGGGGGGCGCGGGGGGGGCCGGGGGGGGGGGGGGGCGGGGGGGGGGGGGCGAGGGGGGCACAGGGGTGGCAACAGGATGGCACCCAGTGACTATTCACTTGCGCCCCCCCTCCCCACCCCCAGCCCTTCCTGATTCTGGTGACTGCCTCTGGACTCGGGACACCTCTGCAGACCCGGCCTGGGCTGGTGCTTGCGGGGTGGGGTGGGGGTTCCTGTTGGTTTGTAAGGTGTCCTTCCGAGCAGCCCCCCCTTCCCCCCCCCCCCCCAGAAGCCCCGGCCGCCGCCCCTCGGGGAGGGGGGCCCCCCCCCCCCCTGGGGCGGGGCGGGGGGGCCCCCCCGGGCCGCTTTGGGGGGGCCCCCCCCCCCCCCGGCGGTGGGGGGGGGGGCCCGGGGGGGGGGGGAGGAACTGCCGTCCCACCTCCCTCCAATCCCTGGCGGGGGGCAAGGGCAAAATGGCAGCCTCCAAGCCAAGTCCGTAGGAGGGATTTCTCCTTCATAAGGACTGGCTGGCCTGGATTCATCCTGCCCCCCCCCCGGGCCCCCCCCCCCAGAGGACCCCCCCCCCCAGTTGTCCTTGCTGAGTGGAGCCACAGCCAAGGGAAAAGCAGCCGGAAAAGCAGCGGGAATTTCCTGCAACTTTGCAGCCCCGCTTTCGATCCCGGCTGTTCTTCCCTGGGGGATCTTGAGGGGTGTTTGTGTCTGTGTCAAAGGGGTGCAAATGGGAACAGAAAAGCCGAGAGAGCCCCCCCCCCCACCGCCCCCCAGGCTAAATGCCAGGAAGGAAGGTCCAAAATCTAACGGCCAGAGCAGCCCACAAGCCCCCTCCCAAGCTGCTCGCACCCGTTGGGGTGGGGGGAATGTTGAGTAAGGCGGAGGGTGGATTTGTAGGCAGGAAAGTGGCTTCCCAGGTTGCAGACATTAGCTAATGTGTTCACTCTCAGCGGTGGCTTCACAACACACCAGCCTCCTATCTGGGTAAACACAACATCACAGCTATATTTGTGTCACACGCTTTGCCCAAGCCAATCAGTCCCCGTAGGGCTTAAAACGCACGGGAGGCTGGATTTAACGTCCACCCGCGTGGCTCAGCCCTACTTGGGTCACGGCTGGCCAAGACCCCCTTGGACCTCTGGGCAGATGCTTGATCACGTCCTGGTGTATCTGAGATAGGCCTGGATATCAAGTACCCAGGTATCTCGGGTATCTCTCACCCCCATGGAGGACATCCCGGTCAAGACCGAGTTGGAAAACACAGCTTCCCTCTGCGGGGTGGGTGGGGTGGGGGGCAGCCCCAGTGAGTTGCAGGGGGAAACGGGGTGCCTACGTCTCCCCCTTTCTGCCAGCTGCTTGGCCCCCGGGCGAAGGGCACCCAGGCCTACGCTGGGACTGGGCCTGGCTCTCGAGGGACCAGTCAGGCAGGGCTCCAAGGCCAAAGTCAAACCTTCCCGCCTGGCCCTGAATGGCCCCCGGGGAGCTGGCTGAGTCCCCCCCCCCCCCACTGGCTCCCCTTCCTCAGCCAGGCGTGACAGGCAGCTGTTTCCCTGTCTTTGCTACCTGCGCTCATCCATCAAGCCCATCGATCGGCCCTGGTGGGGCTTTATTAATGATCTTGTCAGTGGCCGGGTGCAGAGGAGCCGGGGCCTGTCGGGAGTGATGGATCGGGGAGAGCTACGGCTGCTATTTATTCCCCCGCGACCTTGCCTCCCCCCATCGTGGCTTGCTCAAGAGTTATGAATGTGAGACATGATAATTTGATATTGATCTATACGGTAAGTGAAGAAATTCACTGTGCGCTGATGTTTTAACAAAGGGGATGCCTTCATCCTTCCCCCTGGGGGGCAGGGCGGGGGGGCACAGCTGGCCAGCCTTCTTCCTGCCATCTCCCCACCCCAGGGATGACTTGTGGGGAGGAGAGACGTTGAGTGTCCTCTCATTTTCACAGGTAAGCGCCAGGATGTCCCCCAGAGGCACCGGACTCCAACTCCCACTGTTCCTTGCCTGCCTCCAGGACACCTGTGGGGCCTGGGGTGGAGGAAGGGTGCAGGACCAAGGAGGGGGAGTCCAGTTATGTTGAAATGTCTTGTGAACTCACCCTGCCTCTCTTGCACGGGTGTGGAGGCTGACAGGGCCAAGGGGGCCTCCTCCAGAACCCCATGCAACCAAAGAAGCTTTGAGGGGCGGGTGGCAGACTGTCACCTGCCCAAGCAAAAGGTCTAGGCAGGTGAAGGGGCTCGACTGGGAAAAGGGATAGCAACAGCAGCCTCCATTAAGTCTGGCTGACCCAACGGCCAAGGCAGAAGCCGACAGAAGAGGCCAGAGGCTTCCCAGCTTAGCTCTGGGCTGCAGGCGAGATGATGGTCACCTTCAGCCTTCCCTGGCCTGAAGTCTCCCAGAAGATCCACCCCACCCCACCCCAAAGGGAGCTGCATCCCCACCAGACGCACCCCAGACCCCTTCTCCTGGGACACCCCGTCACCCTGGCCAGCACAGGTCCCAAGAGGGCATCCAGCCACCCATGGCTGGCTGGGAAAGTCCCAGGATCCAAGGTTTCTCTCGGAGGAAGGCCAAGGTCTAGACAGGAGGTAAGGAGGGAGAGAGAGAGGGAGAGAGAGAGAGAAGCGATGCCCCTGTGTTGTTACGGAAGGTCGGTCGGCCTTTATTTCTTCCTCCCAAAGAACCGCTTCCTCCCCTCCACAGTCTGGAGCCACCCAGGAGGAGGAGGAGGCTGTGCTGAAGCGTGCAAGAGGACAGACCGCGACTGGCAATTTACGGAGGAGGGTTATTAGCCGTCCCTGGGCTGAGATTACATTCCTCTAATGAAGGCCCCTTTTACAGCACCATAAAAATTGAGCAGGTCCCGTGCAGTTGGGTGGGTGGTGGGTGGGGGGAAATTCTTCGGAAAAAGAGAATGAGGGAAAGAAGAACAGAAATGGGGGGAGAAAAGTCGTGGAGAAACACCCCCCCCAGGACACAGAATGAATGCGCAAAAGCAGCAGCGTCCCCTAAGGGCCCAGACAGACAGACACACACACGCACACACACAGGGCCAGGGGCCACAGCGGTTGATGCCAAGTGAGAAACGGTGGAGCCCAAGCCCCTGGGGGGGGGCTCCCCTGCTGCTCTGCGAGGCCTTTGGGGCGGGGTCCTCGGCCAGGGAAGCAGCAGCTGGAAAAGGACCCGCCAACGTCCTCAGCTAGCCGGGGAGGGAGGGTCTTGCTGAGGGACCCTGGCAGCTTAGTGAGAAATACATTCAGGGACAGAAATGAGAATATTAATTTAATGTGGATTTTTAAAAAGCCGGAGCTGCGCAGGAGGAGCGTGGAAAAGGGGGGGAGGTGACCTGAATGGACGTGACTTCCGTTTTGAGCGGCTTGCCTTCCCGACACGCACAATCCCGCGTTGGATTCCTTGGCTCCGCAGGCGCGCTTGGGGGAGGGACTCCCCCTTCCTCAGAGGGGAGGGGAGGTTTCGGGCCCACGTTTCCCCATCTTTGGGAGGGGCATCAGGAGGGAGGAGGCACCTGTGCTGTGTTCGTGGCCTTCCTGCACTCTGGCTGAGCCAAGGGAGGCCGTGGCTTCTGTCCGCCTCCCGCAGGGCCACAGGCCACGCCAGGGCCTCTTCCCCATCCGCCAGCAGACCTCGTGTTCCTGGTAGGCCAGCGCAGGAGGAGCGGAGCAGCGGAGCAAGGCCTCCTCTGCCGCTAATGAGCCCAGGCCCTGTTCGGTCTTCCGGGTGACGAGCTAAAGGCAAGTCAACCCCCAAGGATCAGGGTCCGGCTTTGAAGGAAGGGCGTCCAGTCCTGCTCTTCGGCCACAGAGACCCGCGCTCCATCGGGCCGAGGCAGAGGCTTTCACAAGGTGCTGTAGAATTGTTTGAGCAGCTGCTTCTTATCCACCTTGCCCATCTGGTTGCGGGGAATTTCCTCCACCAGGAGCAGCTCAGAAGGGATGGTGTAAGAGGGCATGGTCTCCCTGGGCACAGGAGGGCCCCTCAGTTAGCGAAGAGGCTGCAGACAACTCCCCCCTCCTCCCTCCGGTGCCGCCTCAAGGGGAAGAAGAGGCGGGGGGCTCAGGAAGAACAAGGGCGTCCCTGCCTTCGGCCTCTGGTGCATCAACTTACCTGGCCCATTTCTTGAGGGTCTGGAGAGACAATTCCTGGCTCTTGCGGAGTTCCACCACTGCGCTGACCTTCTGACCCCAGACAAGGTCCGGGGCACCGATCACGGCAACATCTGCGGGAGAGGAGAAGGGAGGACAAGGGCGTTGGGGAAAGGACCGGAGTCCCTCTTGCCTACCAGCCACCCTGGACTCGCAAGCGAAGACGGACCCTGTCAGTCAATCAGTTGACTCAGCTAATCTTAGGAACCGGGGCGGGGGGGGGGGGGGGGGGGGGCGGGCAGAGGGCTGGAGCTGATGTCATTGGCCCTAACTCGTTCAGGCACTTTTATGCATCTGTCCAGTCTTTGTTTAATTTTACAGTCTTTTAAAGTAGCTCCTTCGTGGCATTTGAAAGAGATCACTTCACCCTTCTGCCTGGGAGAATGGGCCCGGCAGAAAGAAAGAAAAAAACAGATTTTGCAGCTTCTTGGTAAAATGCCACCTACATAATTAGCCGTCCATTAATCAGCCCCAAAACGTGACAGCACCTGCAATGCTGGGGTGGGCCAGCAGGTGGCGCTCCACTTCCAGGGCGCTGATCTTGTAACCTCCACTCTTGATGATGTCCACCGAGGTGCGTCCCCTGATCCAGTAGCTGCCTTCCTGATACACAGCGGTGTCCCCTGGGGAAAGGAGAGAGCGGGGTGGGTGTGTGATGGGCACAGCTTCTGGGGATGGGGCCCAGGAACAGAACCAGGGTGCCAGAGCTGAGAGGCCCTCCCAGCTGGCCTCGATCTGGCACTAACGCCAACTACGGGGCCCCCCGAAGGGCTTTCGGTGCCACCTTCAAAGGGCAGCCTCTGCCTCGGCTGCCCCCTCCTCCTTTGGGCACACTTCCGTCCCCCTCCAGCCCAGCCCGCTTGGCTCTTGAGACCTTGGCTCTTTGGATGGGTTGGGGGGGGGGGGCTTGGGTGTAATCAGAGGGAGGGGCTTCAATCCCAACTAAGGCACTTCCCTGCAGGTATGGCGGGTCACACGGAACGATGGAGGGCAATCCACAGAGCTGCTGCCCTTCGGGGAAAGGGGAATTGGAGTGCCCATCGCTTGAGGGGCCGAGGAGGCCACGAGGAGGCCAGGGCAGTGAGCCGCTTCACCCACCCCTCCACCAGCCACAAAATCGCTCTCCCCTCCCAAGCACCATCCTTGGTGGGCTCCTGCTGAGATGGAGGCTGGACCCTCTCCCCGGTTTGAAGGACCATCGGTGGCCTTCAAACACCAGGACCTCTCCTTCCTTGGACAAGGGCGTTTTCCCTGGCGGATCTATTCCTCTCACCCCCAGAGAGGGAGGTTCTGGCACGGAAGCTCCTCCCTGAAGCAAGCCATAGCTGCAGCAACCCTTGGGGCACCATGGGAGGGATGGGCAAGGATTGGGGAAAGACAAAGAGCTGGCAGGGAGCAGCTGGTGGATCTGGCCAAGGGTGCTACTTAGCGGGTGCAGAACACACCCTTAAAAACCTCTGTGGCATCAAGTGGGAGCCAAGGAGCACGTGGACCCCTTTAATCCAACCTTTCCTGGGTGACCAACAACGGGCACGGAAGAGGGCATCGCTCAGTCTCCTTGGACCTCCAGGAGGAAGTATTTTTCGGATCTTTTTCCTGCCAAACCTGACCCAGGAAATTATCCCTGCCATCCGCTGGCCGGGTTCCCCAAACCCCACCGAGCGAAGGCTGCCGGATAAACGGCTCTCTCTCCAAAGGGAGATTTTCACGGGTGGAAAAGAGGCGCCGGAGGGGCGAAGATGGGGGGTGGGGAAGGATGGTAAACAATTAGAGGGGAGGAGATTAATGAGGGGTGGGGGGAAGGGCTGTCCCCACCGCAGTCGGGCGAAAGGTGGAGCTGAGGTTGGTGATGTGTTATGGACAGCAACCTCCCCACAGGAGAACTGCACCGAGAGCTCCCCATCTGCTCGCATAGATCACAGACTTCATTCCAGTTTATTAGCTGGAATAAATCATAAATATTTCATTATACATCAACGGTGCTCGACTCCGAGAAGGCGTAATCTATCACCCCCAATGCTCCCCATGACCCGCCATCGCGCATTAAGCTTTCCAGTCTATTAAACAAGATTGATACAGCACACTGGATGGACTGGGGGAATGTGTTTATAACACACCCGGGGGGGGGGGGGGACCGGGGCAGAGAATGGTCTCAAGGAAAGGGAGGTTCGGTTGCTCGCTAAGGTCAAGGAGCCGGTGGGGGAGGGGCAGGTTCCGCCAGAGGGGAGTTCATCTCGTCCAGACCCCCCTGTTCCAGGCGCCCCAGAGCCCTTGTGGGTCACCAAAGGTTGCAGGGTAGGGCTGTTCCTACCACCCACCAGTCTCACGGCATCTCCGGACCCGCAAGAGGATGCCACGGGGTACAAACCTGGGTGACCTCCCTGCCCAAAAGGTTTTGGCCTCAGCCAGAGACCTGCCTAACCACCAGACCTTGCAGAGAAGAGGCCGAGCGCCTCCGCCTGAGCTCCGTCGTCATTCGGGAGAGGCTCCAGTTTAGCCAACGTGCTTGGGAGGCCCCTCATTTCTTGGGTTAAAGGAGGCAAAGACTCCCTTCCTGGCCCCCCCATCCCGCTCCCCCCCACGAGAACCTTCTGTCTTGGCTCCCCACACTTGGATTACAAACGCCGAGGTGAAAAGCCAAGTTTTCGCCTTTCAGGGCCAGTTGGCCTAGTGGTTAGGAGCGCTGGAGCAAAGCCAGAGGGCTGCAAGTGCCAGTCTTGCAACAGATACAAAAACCAGCCGGGCGACTCTGGGACCAGCGATTTCTTTTCTCTCCCGGGAAGAAGGAGACGTTGGTCAACCACGTCCCCAAAACATGCCAAAAAGCAGCAGGGACTTTTTCCTGCCGTTGCCAAGAACGGGGCTGGAGGATCCGTCTCTCTTGGGGAGGGTGAGAGGTGGGATCCGAATGCAGTAAAATTGACGAACGCGTGGAGAGGAAGAGGGACAGGAGAGAGAAGCCTAAAGGCTCCCACCAGGGAAGAAACCTCACGCCCGTAGCTCTGCTCCCTTTTCCAAATTCCAGACCCCGGCAAGTGATGGGGAGTCTCAGGCCAAAAGACTAGACCTTGTTCATCAATTAATTCATCAGGATTTTTTAAAAATACTAAATAGACCTTTTAGGATCCACTATTTCCCCCAGTTGCTCTAAATCAGGGGTCCCCAAACTTGGCAACTTTAAGGCCTGTGGACTTCAACTCCCAGAATTCCCCAGCCAGTTGAAGTCCACCAGTCTTAAAGTTGCCAAGTTTGGGGACCTCCGATTTAAATCTTCCTCCAAGATCCAGGGGCTCCTTCCCCTCCTTGGCTCTGCAGCCCCCCTGGCCACTCCCTTTACCCCCGGCTCTTCCGAGGCCGGGGGAGGGGCCAGGTGGAGAAGAGCAGAGGGCCGGAGTCATGGCTCCGTCCGGTGGACCAGGCGGGGGCGGGGGGGGTGTCGGCTGAGAGCAGGGAGGGGGAGCAGATGGAGGGGTGCTCTGGGGAGACGCTCCCCCAAAGGGTCTCGCAAAAGGGAGGCCGACTCTCGCTTATTACATGGAAATCCAGCATTCCCACTAATTACAGAGCTCAAAATGGCTAACCGTAAAGTACGGATAAAATAATGACGTCATTAAGGCACATAGAAAAGACTCAACGGCAGCCGATTCTGACAGTAAGTCAGCTTAGCGGCGAACAAAAGGGGTCTTCCTCGCTGAGGAAGGGATGGAGCCAGCCCGGCCCCCCCTTGGGAGGGGTGGCTGTCTCAGAGGAAGGGGAGGCAGCCCCAAGTCTTGGCAACAACGAGGAGACACGAAAGGGGGCAAGAGTGGGGTGAATAAGCAGGAGCCCCTGGCAGACCCCGGAACTGAAGCCCGAACTCAGTCGAGATCAGGAAAACCCAACCGGGGCCACTTTAAGGCCTGTGGACTCGAACTGCCGGAGTTCCCCACACAGCCATGGGGGTTGAGGTCCACAGGTATTAAATGAGCCAAGGTTGGACACCTCTGTGTATTTTTAATACACAGTATTTTTAAAGAGGAGGGGAGGGTGGTGGAGTGGGAGGCAACCGAGATTCCCCCCCACCCACCAGCCCCGGACTAATATTCATATCCTCCGTTGGGTTCGCTCACCTGCCCTGACATTTAGGTATAACCTCAGGTGAGCTGTTGGGGTGACAACATCCCACAACAGAGCCTGGACAAGCAAGCGGGCCACAATGTCCGGGCCCCCCATGGGACCACAAAAGCCAAGATGGCGAGGAAGCCGCGGTGCTGTGGCCAAAACTCTCCAGCCTTGAAAGCGAAAGAAAGCGGGAAGGAGGGAGGGAGGCAAAGGTGCGGAGACCCCCCCCCCCCGCAGAAGTATTTCCAGGCGACCCAGCTGGGGGAAAAGGGGCAGCCCACCTCATCCTGAAGGATCAAAGGGCCTTCTTGCTGCAGGCTGCTGGCCTGAGGGAAGAACCAACAGCTTGTCCCAACTGCTCTCCTCTCCCAGGAGTAAGTGGGGGACCCACCTGAAGCCACCTGGGCTGCTGCAGGCTCAGGCCTCTGGCCAGGGGGGTCTGTGGCCACCCAGAGCCCCTCCCCGCCTCGGAAGAGCCCCAGAGAGCGCAAGAGCGCAGAGAAGTGAGGGGAGGGTCATTAAAAATGGGGACTCTCTCCCCCCCCCCCCCCCCCCCACTAGCATTTAAGTATTTATAGCCAGTGCTGCAGATGGCGAAAAGGGAATGGCAGGGAAAAGGGCCCGCTGTGCCTCTCGGCAGCTTGAGAAGCCAAATCCTGGCTGTAAGTAATTGGAATAACCAAGATGCTGGAGTTAACACACACACACACACACACACACACACACACACACACACACACACACCCAGAGGCCCCCTCCTCTCCTTCACTGCGCCGCGCCTCTACTCCCTTCGGAGAACAGCTCTGGGATCAATGACACGCCAGGCAAAAGCCTGCCACAGCCCCCGCCCGCCCCCCGCTTTCCCAGGAGGGGGCACCTTCTTGGGAACCTTCGGAAGATGATGATCAAATAATCCAGGCAGGCGGCAACAGGAGGAGGTCTGGGGGCTTTGGCAGTGGCCGCCGCAGTGGGGAGGCTCGTCTGGGGGAGGGTCTCTAGGCAAGGGGGCTGCCCGCCTCCCCTCTTTCCCCTCCTGCTCCCTCGCTGGGAGTCAAGAGGCCCCCCAGGGAGGGTCTTCTGGAGAGCAGAGGCCACCCCCCACCCCCACCCCGGAGGTCATTATCTGGCCAGGATTACACAAGGGGAGGAAGAGGGAATCAGGAGGCTTGGAGACCCAGCTGCTTCAAAGGGGGAACGCGGCTTCACCAGCTCCCTGGGCAAACCAGGCCGTGGAATGAAAGGGGAAGCGGGCTTCGAGGTCTCGGCTGGCGTCTGAGAAGCCAAGGCCTCCCTTCCTGGGGGACGGATGGGTGGGTGGAAAGGAAGCTGGGAGGAAGGGGGCTGCAAGGGACTCCCTGCCACTGGCCTTCCCCACCAGCCTCACCCCGTTTTCTCTCTCACACCCACCCACCCACCCATAAAAGAGAGGAGCTCTGCGGCTGACCAGAGGCTCGTCTCAGACCCCCGTGGGGGCGTCTGGTGTGCGCATTCAAGGCGGGACAACAAAATGGAAGGTAGGAAG